GTATTTCATGTTTCCCTTACCGAAAATTTTATCAGAGTTGGTTTTAATTCTTCAAAGGGTGAGCCATTTTTCCAGTTTTATGAGATAGTTTTGGAGTTGGTTTCTTACGGCATTGCTGTGCAGGCTTTAGTAAATATGGCGGTGTCATCGGCAAAGAGTGCAAGATGAACAGATGGGTCTTTAGGGATGTCTTGCGTATAAATACAGTCGAATCCGGTTAATTGGACCACCGGATAATCGGATCAGCCGCTTTTTCGGACAGAATCCTAAAGAACCAAAACAAATCTATGTACATAAGCCTAATATTATTCGCTTATTTGGACCAAAACTCCGTTTTATCGGACCAAAAAAGGGAGAACGAATAAGAAACAGAAGCCTCAAGTCGGCCGTGTATAGCGGATGTACAGGTGGTCCACGATATGTGGTAGGATCTGTGACTGCGCTCCCTAGGAGAATATCAAAAGTCAAGAATTCCTTAAAGTGCATGACAAGAGTAAAACCAGTGGGAGGTGAACACGCGCTCCATTTTCTTTGAAATTTCTTAAAACAGAGCCACTTGTAGCCGCCAGCGAGGTTATTGGTCCCATTGCGTCTCCGAGTTTCGAGGAAATGAACAATAGAGTGTTCGGCTCCATCTGAAAGGAATTCCCGCCGGTCAATAATGATTAAAGTTTACACGAGAAAGCTGTCATTTCACCATCCTTTTGGGATGATTTTAGTGCCAAAGCTTTGAATGGCGAGCATTTTATCTCTCTCTTGACCTTAACATCTTGACCCCGAAACACGAAAATTTCTTCAGACCACTTTAGTCAGTGAGCTTATAAGGTATTTCTCCCGCCTTCCTAGCGTGCCTTCGTGGTGTAGTGGTTCTGCAAACTGAGCCGGTGTTGCTGAATATCTTAAAATTTGGTATTGTTGAATATCTGAAAATTTGGGGGTTTTAATACCCTTTTAAAACTTTGAACTTTAATTCAACTTATGGTGCCGGACAAATTAACTTAAAAAAAATAATATAATCAAAACAAATCTAATTCATAATAATCAAAGATCAATCGAATAAACAATCGTATAGCATATCTATCAATCGTATAGTGGTATTGGTTTAGTACAATAGGGCGCGTTATGAAGCCTACTAGGGAAAAATCAATAACCCCAATTCAATAAAACTCCATGTTTCTTAAAAGCCTTCCGGCTCAAACAAATGGAGGGACATGACAGACCACAGTAAATTATACACTAAAGATAAACTACATGAAACATTAAATATATATCAACACACATTTATTAAATTCTTGAATATATTGTATTATTATTAAACAACTTGGGTAACTGATCAGTATCCCCTACCACATATTTTTCTACGCAAAATAACACATAATACCACACCAAATTACAGCTTACATTAATTAAGATTAACATTATCAAATCCTACTGTATCATAAGTGTAACACTAGTATTTCTTCCATTTTCATCTTCTAACTTTAAGTATTTATCATGGTAATTTCCTTTACGAACACTGATAATTTTCACATCGATTAATTAATTTAAGTAATTACTCACATTTCAACAAACATTAAAATTACGACTCTTGCTTGAGTATTAAGATAATTATTAAAGTAAAACAATTAAAAAAACAAATCACTCACGGGGTGAAGTCCATACCGCACACTCCCATTACTCGGGAATACCTTTGTATACTGATTAATAAGGCGATCTGATAGCTCCACAGATCGTCCAGCGTCCAAAGTTTACTCGAGCACCACATTATTCCTGCTGTCCTTTATTCACAAAATCCTCGTTAATGGAGACAGACAGTTCTTGCGAATTTTAAAGATGACTTTGTTGAAACACCACTGAAGCTGTCCTTACAATTAATAAATTCCAGAGCGCCGAAAAAAAAAAATCGACGCAGCTGACACAGGCAGAATAAATAGCATCGCTCACATTAGACGGATCCTACACGAGTCTCTTTCATTCTGAAAACCTCAAAATCCACCAAAAACGTAGAGCACTTTTGGAACAAAATCTAATTATGAAGTCGGGAAAAACAGGAATACCGCATCAGGATCACTACGAGAATCTGCATTACAATTCTTGGAACAAGAGAATCGAAATTCTATGCTGAGCTCTACGCCTTATGCCAATGCAAATTCTCGCCAGCTAAACGCCGAGAGAAAATCATATCCGCTGCTCGCTGGTTCACTCCGCTCGCGAGAGCAAGACCCGCAAGGGGTCAAGCCCCCACTTTTTTTTCTCTTTCTTTCTTCAAAAATCAGAATCCGAATGAACTCTAACCTGGTGCAAGCACCCAAGAAATCTCGGTTTCTCCGCCTCTGTAAGTTCATAGGCCTACAAAAAATCATCAAATTAAATCTTACCAATCCCGGAATTTTACGTTATCTAAACTGAGAAAATGACACACCCATGACGAATCAAACACCAGAAATCTGACAATGCAGTCCAAAAAAACATCTGTACACACAACGTGAGAAACAAAGTGGACCCCCCCAACTAACAAGCGGAGCTAAGCTTTACCAGAATCCAATTACCTAAGCTTAGTACAATCCCCACTGTCTTGAAGTAACAAAATTGCAACTACCACAAAGCGAAAGCAAGACGATTTTCGTTTCAAACGCTATTAGTAATAGGCGACAATACAACACACTACTGCGTCCACTGTTAGTAAAAAGACCATAAACCAATAAACCAGGTGTCTCTTGCAACCGTTTCCTGTCTTTGTTACACTACACTTTCAAGAACTGCCAGTTAAATAAGGCTGTAACAATTTAAGAATACTCTTTTTACCAGATCAAAATATATATGACTACAAATAAAAATATTAGAATAATAATAACTTAAAATACATATTAATAATTAAAATTCGCGACATAATAATGGTTCGTTAAATTACAAACATGTTGCACTCTCTGGCTCCTAAAAAAGCTATGGATCGCGTAACTGTCTTGTGTTACTCAAACATGTCAGGAACAGACAAGAGGAAGCTGTTGGTTATAGGAAAATGCACTAAGCCTCGCTGCTTTAAAGGACTTAGGATGGACAGTTTACCAGTTGTGTATCGTGCGAACAGAAATGCGTGGATGACCTTTGAACTTTTTAAAGAATAGGCGAAGGATTGGGACAGAGAGCTACAACGCCAGTCGAGAAAAGTGGTGCTTCTTCTTGACAATTGTTCAGCACATCCTCATTTAGATTGCTTGAAGAACATCCAACTGGAATTTCTACCTCTCGGGGCCACAGCTTTCGTCCAGCCAATGGACAATTGCTGACCTCATTTTCAAAAGCCAGCGAAGTAAGTGTAAAGGTCAACATCTTACAAGCAGTTACATTTGTAGCCGACAGCTGGCGAAAAGTGAACAGTGAGATAATTCAGAACTGTTTTTTTACTGTGGCTTTAAGCACTTGGTTACGGAGATGGATGCGGACATGCTCATTGAAAGTGAAAATGATGACGGACATGTGGAACTTCAACAGGTACAAAATTGCGAAGAATTTTTATCCATCGACAAAGAGCTTCAATGCTACGTTGAAAATGAAGATTACGACGCTGCAATCGTTGCTCGAGTTGCAGCAAAACACACGACAGAACACAGTATGTGAGGAAATGTATTGAAACTTTGCGTCTATATTTCATGCAAGAGGCAAATGAAGGCAGTCCCATTGCTGCGTGAGATGTTTGGGGAGATTTCGTTCACGTGCGATTTGTCAAGAGAACGCGTCAGATCACATTGGATAAGTTCTTCAAATATTGACTGGAACTTGGTAAGAACTTGTTTTTATTGTGCTTCGCATGCTAAGTATCGTGGAGATCGTTTCTTAGAATTTGTTTCTAAATTAATTTTCTCAATGAAAAAAGTTCGACTGTAGTCCTTAGCACGTCCCTTCTTACAACATAGGACATGTTCATGTAATCGGACCTGCCGGTTTGTAGGACCTAAACGATCGCTTTCCGATGTGGTCCGATTAACCGGAATCGACTGCATTAAAAAGATACGGTGAAAGTGCCGACCTGTGGGACACCAGCGTTGATTATTCTGGTGGTTGCGTAAGCAGTACCAATTTTGATTCTGAATGTTCTGTTGCTGAAAAAAGAGGCTATTAAGCATTATCGTTGATCAGACTATGGTTGTCATCCAATGACGAATCTTTTTCCCCGCCAAGGGAGTATCAAATCGTAATATCGTAGTATCAAATCGGGATACGTATTCGCAAAATATCGTCGCGTTTGTTGTTTGCTTATTCAATGCGATACAGGAAAGAGTATTAAATTTAAATAACATATAATGAAATAATAATAATAATAACAATAATTTTAGTCTATTAAAAATAATTCTAGGTATAATTATTGATAATTTATGTAAAAATACGTGTATTGCCTCTGTAAATACTTAATTAATGCTTTATTTTCCGTTTTCGTTTATTTTGTTATGCTTCCCTCTACTCGTCGATGTTTAAAAAGGGTTTATGCTAAACCGTTTTAGCGTTTATTTATGTGCATTGAAAGTAATTTATTAACATTTTCTTGTATGCCCTCATTGATATCTAAATTACTATACTTACGCAACGTTTTGCAAACACGGGCTTCGTACACTACATACACATATATGAGAGGAACGATTATAATAAGCTTAAGATAATGATGGTACAGCTAAACATTAAATACTTTTTCTCCCCGTCTTCAGCGACTAAAAATATTTCAATTGTGATATTATAAGGACAGGCTTTCTAAGAAATGTAAAACCTGATGTTATGAACAGGGTTGTTATACTTTTGTCAGACCATTTTCTAGTTTCCTGCACTCGTCTCCACTAATATGATATCCATAATTGTTATGTATGCTTTCATATCGTAGTCATATGTACAGTGATCTGAATAGAGAGCAGGTTTGAATTTGCGTCATTCAATCCTAATCAATGATTTCTCATAACAATCAAGTTTACCTGTAACTGTATTTCTTATTATATTTTTATGACGTAATTTCCTGTGTGACTTTCGAAAGTAGTATTGTTGTCTTGTACGATTGTGATGCTTGCGCTGAAATTACATTTATAATTTTTCTTTTTCACATTCTTATAAGCTTTTTAATTGGGAAAATCTCTCTGTTATTGTTAAATAATGGAAGACAGTGAAATAGAAAAGAAGAAAATGAGTACGAATATTCAGAATTCTAGTGCACAAAATAGTAGAAGTAATCATAGCATTCAAAACGGAGAAACACGACCAAAAATTGGCGAACATTATCTTGTGCAACGATCAGACGGTACCTGGCGTACGTATAAATTCATTATATTTTGTGTAACTGTTATCAGCTCGTTAAACAATGCATCGTAATTAATTTGCCGTATATAAACTGACCATGTTAAACAGAGAAGGTTACTTTTTTTTAAATATATAAACGATATAACAACCTGCAACGTTTCCTACAACAGGAACTGTGTGTTAAAAATCAAAACTTGGTGATACTAATTCACTGGGTGTAGTTAACATAATTCAATCAAACTTCGGTAAGCCGAAACTGAAGGAAGCCAAAAAAGAATTCAGTTTATGTGTAAAGGGCTTCGTTATTTCATGAGTTTTTTTCTTTTGATTTACCGAAATTCTGCTGTAAAACTTCTAATGACTCATTGATAATTGGCAATTATTGCAGATGAAAAGTCTAGATCCGGGTGTGTGTAGTTTTCTTCAGTATGTTATTTCACTTTTTGCTTTTTCAAAAAGTTGGGCCTATGAATTATATTTTTAAAAGAACTATGTAAAAAATTCTGTTATGCAAGTATTTCAAGATGAGTTGTTAATTTATTTTGTATTATTTATTTTTATTTGAAGAGTCGTAGAAATGTACTAGCAGAAAACTTACACGAAAACATTCAAAATAAGAATTACTTTCACATCATGCTTTTGAACAATAAATGGCCTATTCAAGTTTTTGTTACTCACGAATTATCACAACCGCTTTAGTAGAAATCGCCAAACTCCTGCAACATTTGCATAATAGTTATCTAGGTAACGATATCCACTGCAATTTGAAAATTCACCAAATCACTAAATTTCACTATTTTCTAGAATGGCATTAAATCTAAAAAATTAATCTATTCTTATTTGCTATGATTAAAAAGCATTAAATCTGATAAACATGAACAGCATGCAGAATCGTTGACGTTTTAATCATAGCAAACGTCAGTACTAAAAAAATTAGAGATGGCCTCTGTTTGATTTTCAAGTATATTGGCACGAGATGAAACCTGAGGTTTTTGCCAAAATGTAGCCAAACTGATAAGAAGAGGGAAATAATTCATAGCCAGCGGCTATTCTGAGCATCGACAATGGACCACCCAGAGATCTAGAGATAGGTGATTCTCTAAAATAGAGAGGGAATGGCTGGTGCGACAGTTGTACCACAGCCGGCGTTAAAGAAAGTCAGTTTCCTGGTACAACTGCTGTACCAGCCGGCTTCAGAAAGTTAAGCATGTGCAAGAGTTAGACGTAAGTATATTAAATAACTAAATTAATACAATTCAGGGTTAATCTTTGTATTATGGTAACTTGGCGATTTCTTGGCAAAAATTTGGCGACCAACCCTGCTACAGCAACCTGCTAGTTTTTTTTTTGGACGCCATTTTGTTTTCACGAAGTAAAGGCATTTTTTTTTTTTTTTTAACTCAACATTTTTTTCCGACAATCTGCTAGCTGAATTACGCTTATGCTAAAACTTTTATGAAACAAAAGTGCTTAATCATGACAAAGATTAGGTGCGAAATTGGGAGAAAGTGCAGAATCACGCACTGCTTGCCATGTTTTTAAGAATTGTACATACACGGTATCATCCATGTACACGTCGACCTATTTTCACTTAAAAAAACATCCCAGAATTGCACAAAAGTGGTATTTTGCACACTCTTGACATTATCCATGTACGCTGCTAAAGTCCTAGCTAGTAACCTTTATTGCCTTACCAAAATGTCGCCAAACTACCTGTTACCATATTCCAAATATTGGCCCAATTCAGGCTTAAATGTCTCAGTGCACGATAGAAGCAAGGCAAAATTTAATGGAACATCTCGTTGCTATGCTACATAGCCAATCATATATAGCGGACCCCATTAAGCTAGGCTAAAATTATACTTCCAAAAATTTCAGTTAATATAGACTAAAATTGTACTGATTCAAAAAATGTCAGTTAATATAGTAGATTGTGTTGTTCCTTAACCCTTCGACGGGCGGTGGGACGCTTTTTTATCAGTTTTTATCTGCCAGATAAAAGATTCCATTTAAAATACATGCAATTACACCTTTTACTTCTCTAAATGTATAACAATTGGCAGCACTTGTATTCATTCATGGAAATAATGTGAAATAAAAATTCTTTGCAAGTCTAATTTTGGAGCAGTTGTTTTTTTTTTCTCTCTCTCTCTCTCTCTCTCTCTCTCTTAATTTCTAATGCAATTTAAATTGTCTGAACAACAACTTTTGGTGTTAGAATGAATATTTTTATGTGAAAGTTTATTTTTCTAATAGAAATTGAAATTTAAAGGTGGGACAAGTATGTACATCACACAGCGCATGTAGGAATTGCTGCTACTAGATAGCAATACAGTTCAGATATTTTTAAATTCAAATATCATGTTGATTTTATATGTTGATAATGCAAATTTTTATTTTTTAATAAATTGCAATAATGTTAAAACTTGAAAAATATTTAGTATTTTTTTCAAAAGAAATGACAATATAACTCTGTAACATGAAATGTCATTGAATACTGAATGGATATGTGAGTGTGATTTACCATAGAAAAATATCCTAAGCAGAGGAAAGAGAGGTGAAATGTAAATAAACATGACGGCCTTCCACATATCTTCCTTTTCAAACCTTTATCAAATAGAGTACTGGAACGAAAATCTTCTCTGTTTCAATTCTATTGTGAAATCATTAAAAAATATCTAAAAAGTCATACAGAGAGTGATGTTTTTTATTCCAAAGGGGCTTTGTCACTGAAGGACTATTGTTTTCGTTTTGCGATTTTTGCATTGAATCACTATAAATGTCCATTTCACTTTTCAAACTGTTGCCACCAAATGTTAGAGTCCTGCATTATATTTGAAGAAATTAAATAATGAAAAATCTGCATAAATGCATGTATATTTCTCGCATTGTGATAAATTGTGATTCGATGGCTCTATAAAACGTTTTATAGAGCCATCGAATTTATACTGTGAATATGGACATGTGGAAGCCCAAATTTGAAATTTGGAATTTGTTTTATTATCGATCTCATATTTTGTAAAACTTTAACGAATTTTTACTTAAAAAACACAACGATTTGAAAGCGAGCAATGGCAACAATCTATGGGGGGAGGGGAAACCTTTTAATCTCTTGTGCACGGAACTGTGTATCGGAAATTCTAAAGATAGGCTCATTTTAAAAGTATTTTGCGACATTGCTATTGAACTGAAATTTATGGTTTAAGCGTAAAGAACATGATATTTAATAAATAAAGGTAACACACAAAATGTTAAAAAAAGCCCCTTTGGACATAATTTAAAATCTGAAACCTTTCAGATTTTTTTTTTTAATTGTGTAATTTTTTTTGAAAAAAAAGTTTTTTTATTTTGTTAATATGATCAGTATTTTCTAGATAATTATTCAAAAACCTTTTTTATATATTATTATATATTATTAGATTTTGTCTGTCTTACTGTATCATATTTTTTGTATTTTAAGAATTTGCAATTCTGTTAATAATTAAAATTACGGAATTGTAAAATTTATATTTATTAATAGACTGATATAATGTTTCTGGTATTAAAATAAGGAGAGAACGGAGCACTTAATAATATTCTGTGTTGATACAACATTTTTAAATAATCATCTCCTCTATTCAGGATCATCTGTACAAAATTAAATAATTAATAGATTTCAAGAAGTTCTTTCAGGAGGAAAAAAAAAAAAAAAAAAACTGTTAATAAACTAGTTATAATTTCTGTTTTTCAGATTCTGCTGAGGTAATACAAATAAGAGCTAGTGAACAAGGTGGTGACAGATATGAATATTATGTACATTATCTTGGTTGTGAGTAACTATTTTTTATAAATAATGATTTTTAAATATAACTTAATTATTTCTTTAGAATTTCTAGATTTATTTATGAGGTACCTTTTTTATGAGAAATATTATGTTTGCTGACTTTTTAATTGAATGAATAATTTTGGAGCTTTTTTTAGGCTAAGCTACGTAGAATTTTAGTTACTTTTTTATCACTAGGGTTTAAAAATGTGTACTAATGTGTTAATATATATATATATCATTTCATCGTCAGTTGTGAGTGAGATGGCTACAATGCAGCATAAGGTTTCTTGAGTGTACAAGAAATGAGTCAGTTGTATTTTAAAACAGAAATCATGCAATGACACTCTTCTTTGTCAGTTAGTAATTTAATTTCTTAAATTTCTTTATGGATGTAATAATTCAATTGATTTCAAAGTGTCCATGGTGAAACCAATCTTTAAAGCAATACTACTTTATGGAATCTGATTAAAGTAATGGATCAACATTTTCAATGTTTACAAATAGTTAAAGACTTAATTATTGACTTATCATTGCAATTTTAAACTAAAAAATAGCAATTTTTTTCACAAAAAACTGTTTTGTACTGTACAATTCAAACACCCTTCTTATGATCAACTAAAAATACCTAGCATTTTAAAAAAATATCAACACTTGCTTCCTGAAAAACTACTACAAATTGAGCCCTGCTTTAAATTTGAAAAGACCTTAGGTCAATTCGTTATCAACCACCACGAGGTACAAGAAAATAGCATATGTAATTGCCAACTACCTCTTTACCATAAATATGTCGATCCTTTCCACCAACATGTTATAACCGGAGATCTTAACATCATTGAAGACTTAGAATTGCGAGCCCTTTTACAACTTGGAACCAAATTTTGTCCTACTTTCAGTATCAATAAACACTTTTGCCTCAAACAATTCAATCAAGATCTTGATAAATTTATCATCTTAGTTAGTAATAAATCCAATTTACCTACTACTTTTTTTTCTTGAATGGAAGCTGCACTGATTAAAGAATTTCAACATTTACTTTTCAAGACACCTTTTAACTCTTTACACAATAAGAAGCAACTATAATCTTATTAAAAAACAACAAGATAATTTTATCATTACAAAAATTGACAAAGCTAGCAACAATTTTAGTGTTATTTGAAAAAAGTTTTACTTCGACCTACTGCACAAAGAACTAAATAGTAATTGCACTTACCAAAAAATTACCAGCACCAAAATTCTTATCAATAAATTTAACGCACTACATAAAAGACTCAAGATACATCCCCGGAACTATAATAACAGATTTGCAAATCTCTATGCGCTTCCAAAATTTCATAAGTCTCCTATTACATTCAGGTTCATAGCCAATAGTACCAGAAGTTATCTTAAAGAAATAGATTATCTTTTTGCAAAAAAACTTCGTTTAATACGTGACTTAATTAATAACTATGATTTTAAGGATCTGCATTGCAACTGGATGATTTCAAGTAACGAGCTAGTGATTAAGACAATTAATTCACTTAAAATAGACTAAATACAATGCTACGATTTCGAGAACCTATATACTACCTTATCACTTGAAAAAATCTATACCAGCTTACTTGCTCTACCAGATATAATTCCACAGATTTCGACAATAATTGATACCGAAAAATGGCAACTTTTTCTTTCGAGCGTGCTTTTCAATAATTTTATTCTCCTTAACAATAGCATCTTTAAACAAATTCAAGGAATCCCAATGGGAGGTAATTTTTCAAGTGCTGTGTGTGAATTATTCCTTTTCACAAAAGAAACACCTTTTATTAACACCTTTGTCCGTTCACTAAGTAAAGAAGAACATAAATTCTACCAACACATCTATCGTTACATTGATGATATCATTGCCTTTAACAACCATAACAAAATAGAAGCTGCTAATATCTACCCAACTTGCTTAAAACTAAATAGTACAAATACGGTGGAAAGTAATGTAGCATACCTTGACTTAAATATTATTGATTACAATTTTATTAAAGTTTACGACAAGAGGAGAGAATTCACTTTTTCTACACTAAAGTTAACCAACTGGAATTCTAATATTTCCACAAGAATCATCATTAACACAATTTTTTCACAGCTTCTTAGAATAAAAAGAATATGTAACACTACAGAACACTTACAAGAAGAAATACTTTACTTCATCACAATTTTGAAAAATAACCAAATTCCTCATAAAATAATTAAAAATACTATAAAAAAAAGCTGGCATTAGCCTTACCAATTTTTAGATAATTTGTTTTGGATAATGGAATTTTATACTTAAAGCCCAATGGGACGGTATAAAGTGGATGGCTGATTCAGATAATCTAATGTAAAAATTGTATAAATGTACAGATTATTCTCGTCACTACAGTTTCTTTCCTCCAAAGATTTTGGCACTATACTTTAATACTATTGTTTTAATAGTTTTGAATTACTGAGATGGCCAAATTCTACTTTTATTAACAAATCGGGCCTTTTCATTTTTCATAGTAGCTTGACCGCCCTCTAGCTTGAAGAATGACGACTTTTATTAACAAATGACTTTTTCCATTTTACTCTTTCTTTTGTGGCCAAAATAAGTAATCTTATCTGAATTAGCCATTTTCACTTTTTTGAAGCATTTTTGTTCTTCTAACAACTTGACTGACGCCATTTTGAGTTCTTTCCATGTCTTTTCGCATCTCTCACACCCTCTTTAGAAAAGGGGCGGATAAGAGTTCCCGCCAAAACTACAATCTCTGCCCATTGGCCTATACAGATTAGATTGTTTCACCCACCTATGTCACACGATGAGAAGGAAGGTTGGTAGGACACAGAGGGGATTTGCACCCTTTTCAAATCTGTTGCGCGATACAGAGGACGGCACCACCCAGGTCAGTTTTTTAGTTTCTTTTGTTTTATGTGTTTCTTATGATTTTTTGGTCCTAATAAGACCCAACGGCGTTTGTTTTCTTGCAAGTTTAATTGCATATTAATTTGATTACAGTACCATTATCTTTATAAAAATTTTTGGTTAATCTTTGGATTATGGTAACTTGGCGATATTTTGGCTAACATTTGGCGACCAACCCTGCTATAGCAACCTGCTAGTTTTGTGTTGGACACCATTTTGTTTTCACGAAGTAAAGGCTTTTTTTTTTCCAACAATCTGCTAGTTGAATTACGCTTATGCTAGAACTTTTATGGAACAAAAGTGCTTAATCATGACCAAGATTAGGTGCGAAATTGGGAGAAAGTGCAGAATCGCAAACTGCTTGCCGCGTTTTTAAGAATTGCACACATACACGCCATCCATGTACACGTTGACCTATTTACACTTAAAGAAACTTCCCAGAACTGCACAAAAATGGCATTGCGAACACTCTTGACTTTATCCATGTACACTGCTAAAGTCCTAGCTAGTAACCTTTATCGCCTTACCAAAATGTCGCCAAACTATCTGTTACCATATACCAAAGATTAGCCAATTTTTTTCTTTTGTAAGTTATGCAGGACCAGCCCATACGTTATTGTAATTTTGACTAATAGCAGACTGCTATTTATTTTATTTTCTTTTTAATTTTGCATTGCTTGGAGTTGCATTTACCTTTTTTAACACCTTAATGTGTTTTTCTGCGGACGCATCGGGAAAAAAGAACAGAGAATTGAAGCTCCAAAAAAGATTTTTTTCGAGTTAATTCATGTTTTTTATAAAAATTTTACTCATCAAACAAGAGCTTCAGTGGTCTGTTTCAGCGAAACGCGTAATGGTATTTGGCCTAGTTCGACACTCAATTATTTTTCCCTTGAAGAGCCTGGTTGAGGGTTCGAATGGGTTAATTTACCATTTTCCGCTTTGTAATTATTGTATTTTTGTAATTTTGCAGTTTATGGTTTTCATTATAATTTTTACATTTTATGTTTTAATATTTTTTTCCGTCAATCTATTTTTATGTGTGTTAACTTATCACAACGGTCAGATTAGTTTTTTCGTGCATTCGCATGTCTTCCAACATTGATTTTTAACAGTTTTATTTCGCGTGTAAGCAGTTTTTTTTTCCAGTTTTTTCCAGATTAATATTTTTTTTTTAAATTTCTTCTTTGTTTATATTTTAGTAATACAGCATTGAACTACTTCATGGAGCTACAGCTCCTGGCAACTTTTTAGCAAGATCGCTGCAATGTTTCTACCTATTATTTCATATATTTTTGCAGCATTATGCGCAAAAAATTTTTAAGACCAAATATGTCTTACGTCTCATTACTTGTTAGCTTTACAATTTCTGTTTCGATTATATAGTTATACATAGTATATACTATGTATATACACACATAGTATATAGTGTATAGTATATTGATGTTCTTTGGATCATTTTTGGTGTTGGCGATAATTTTCAAAATCGTGCCAAGGCTGCACCCGTATACTAGGATTTTACCAAAAATAGCTTTAGAATTTTTTTTTTTTTTTTCTGTCAGCTGTTATTTTATTTTAAGTGTTTTCTCCTTATAATTGTTCTAGTCTCCCTGCTTCACAATAATTGTGATTCAGTGTTTTGGAAGATTTGCTATTCTTAAGATACTGCTTTCACCTCCCCTCTGAATGGCTTTAGCAGTTTATGAAGAAACCTATTTCAGAGAAGAAAAAGGCAGTCTCCACAAGGGCTCTTTCAAAATTAGAGATGTATTTGAAATTGGTGTATTTTTGTAAACTTTGTGATGAATAAATTTGAATAAACGTCTCATTCATAATTGGTAACCTTTGTATGTCCATGGTTACGGAAATCAGTCAATTTTGTACATATTTTTCAGAAATTTTTAAAGCCACTTACAATAAATAGTTTGCAGCACTCACACTTTTTTGAGCTGAAACTCTATATTTCTCAATGACTCCAATGGTAGTCCTAGGCAGAAATCATCATCTACATCATCTGGGTTTATATATGTCAAAATGTTTGGAATCTTGGGGAGGATGGATTTTTTCACAAGATTGGCAGCAGTTTTAACTGTAAAGTTACTAAGCTACCTTTCATCAGATTATATGAAACAAAAGTCTTCCACATTTATCAACAAATCTTAATTTTTTATAAATTTGTGTCGAGTGGTAAGGAACCCATTGGATACAAGCCTTTTTTCTTTCCTAGAAGAATTATCTTAAGACCCAGTATACCTGATGCTGGTGACATCAGAGTAGCTCGAGTTAATTTCTTTGCATGTTAATCGACAATCTTCTTCCTTTCTAGGCCATTACAGATATCACATTTTCTGTCTCGGTTGATATTTTTGGTCTTGGCTTTCGGTCATCTTTGACGCCTGATATTTTCCAAGAAAATTGTATTTCAATGGAAGACTGACTGTATTAGGATTTTCTACCTGATTACTATAAGCTTCATGCAGTGCACTGTAAAATTCTAATGGAAAATTTACATATTTTAATATAAAATTGGAATTTTACAATTAAAATATTTAAATTTTCAGTTTTGAAACACAATGTTTGATCTTCTACATGCATTTCAAATACCCATTACTTCAAAATGCCATACTTTAGAGACATCAGGCACTTGCTTTCATTTCAAATATTCAGCTACAATTTACAAATGTACAAAACCCGTCCAGCTATTAAGGGTTACTGAGAATCAATATAAGATATCTAATGGGATGTGTTGAAGCATATCTGTCAAATTTGATTGCAATATTTGAGTGGCATTTTCAGATATGAAATTCAGTTGGTCAAGTATCAGATAAGCTTATACCAAATGATATGGTATTTCTTATGAAAAACTGCACAAGAGGAAAAAAATGGCAATATAGAAAAATTACATTCATAATGAACAGACAGAGAATTCTTTAATTAATATGTAACATTTGAGATATTTAATTATACTTGGCATCCTTCTTATTTAGCTTACATTAAAAATAGTATAGGATCATTAATTCAGAGATCTTTCCCATGCTTTGAAGCAAAGTGAATTCTAGAATAATATTAGAAATATAGCATCTGACCAATAGCATCAACATGTATAAAAAAATATTAGTGTTTGGTCAAAAATATTAGTGTGAAACTTCCTTTTCATAGCTAATCATCTCATCTATTGTACCGTTCAGTAACACTTAGCTCATGAAACTTAGTTGTTTTGTTCTAAGTGATGTTTTGATGATAAAGTCGATAAGGAAGGTCATTCCATTAACATTCCTCAGTTTGGAGTGTTGCTTCTTTTTGCAGTATTTTTTAAATGAACCTACATTCATTGTTGTTAGGATGTTGTATTTAAAGTTCTGCACAGCAGTATAATAAATGTGTTTAAATATGCATTGGAAAAAACTAAAGATAGGTCAAGTCCTGAATTTCTTCAAATTTGAATGCTATCATCAAAGGTTTTCAAACTTTTTTAATATCAGATTTCTCGAATCCTTCAAATAAAACTCAGAGGAATGAAAAAGAAAGAAAATATTTTAAATGAAGTAAAATTTGAAATATTAATTTAATTTTTAAAAAGTATAAGAATTATTTTTTTAAATACACTTCCGATGCAAATTTAAATTTAGTATATGAATTGCATAATTAATTACTTGAATTTTGAGTTTTATTTTCTCAATATGTTTTGATAAACATATTTGAGCAACAATCAAATTTCAGTTGACTTCAACAGTTCAAAATTCAACTGCACAGTGGGAGTCGCGTTTGCATTGCAACATTTATACATCATGCCATAAGTTGTTAGAAACATGCAGGAGCTATTTTTAACAGGTTATATACTTCCAGAATTATGGAAAGGGTTAAGTAAAAATTCTGGAATATTTCCTTGGATGCTGTGCAGAAGCAGTGTGAAGCCATAACGTCAGTAAATTTGGTGATTCAGATGCCATTGAAATCATATTCATTTCTTAGTGAACCAATCAATGAAACTAATCCTTCCAAAATTAAGTTAAAAATCTTTAGCAATTATAAGGTTAGGGTACAAACAATTTGAATGATGATAATAAAAAAAGTGCTAAGATTCAGGTTTTGAAAATTCAAATCTTTTTTGAAAATCTCCTGTGAAATCAGCGGACTTGAATAGCTCATCCTTAACAGAAAAAAAAAAAAAAAAAGTAACTGATAATCTATTTTGCATCTAAAGAATGAAATCAGTTATTAAGGGCTAGATTTTGATCTCTATATGTTGATTTTCATGTTAATTATAAAAAAATAAAATTATTATTTGGTAAAAACAAAATTATTATTTTTATGTTGAATCCTAGAAAAGTAACAGCTTATTTTGAAACACTGTTCCTTTCTCGAAGAGCGCAAATGTGAGCCATTTCTACTTTGAACCAGTCCTCATGTGCTTTGCCAAATTCAAACAAAATTTTGTTAGAAAACAATTTCTCCATAGCATGCGCTATCTCCTTTCACTTATGTCACTGAGAAGCTGTTTGCACTGTTACATTCACCTAGAACATTAGGCCTTTCTTTAATTTCAGTATGTTTCTGATAAAACCATTCGGCATTATAAACAGAGAAAAGAAGAAAGAAAAATGGAAGAAAATACTTGGTTTCTGTCTGGGAGGGAAGCAGCAAAGAAGTACAGGGGACTCCAAATTTGAGTACACAAAGTGTAGGCATGCAGTCGGGGTTTACCATTTCAGCATCTGAAGGATTCTCAGAGAAAACAAAATGCATCTGTATCGTATGCAGCGTATTCAGGCACTTCAACCAACTTCAGTCCTCATGTGCTTTTGAATGATGGTATCTTGAAAAGTGTGCTACAGATCCAAAGGAAGGTACATTCAATTCACATAACACCCATCTCTGGGTGATAAGAGAACCCTCATGCAACATGACGTCATGCAGCACAGGATCTGTTTTCAGTTAATGCTTGAGCCAGCATTATGAGGGATCACCTCATCAGACCTTACCTGTTATCTTTTCATCTAAGTGGTTGTAACTACTTGATCCTTCTGCAGCAAGTCATGCCATGCCGCAAGTCTTACATGATAAATCTGATTTGGGCAATAGTAGATCAGAAGTTGTTGTCCTATGCATTGGGTTGCTTGATCACCAAACTTCTCATGTATTGATTTCTTTTAATGGGGGACTTATGAAGACACTGGCTTATGACATTGACAATGCCAAGGAGCTGATTGCACGAATTGCAGTAGCTGCCATAGAAATTCTAGATATGTGTGGAATATTGCAGAATATTTGAAATTCTATGCACCGTAGATGTGAGGTGTGCATCAGTGGATGAAACTTCAAACACTGTCTTTGATTCATGTTACTTTTTTTCATGTAAATTTATTATTAAAATGGAAATTAACTTACCTGGCATCTTTTAATTTCTGATGTTTCAGTTTACACCAGCATGTCAGGAAAGCATTTCCAACCCCACATTGCTATGATTCCGAATCATCAGGGTGCATCCTACCCCTGCTAGAAGTTCTGAAATAAGCTACTGAGACACCCTGTATATTGTTAAGTAGAGGAATTGACATTAATTAAAGGATTTAAAAGTAATTTATCATCTGCACAAATAAATTCCTTTACCCAAAGTACAAGAAACTGTTTTTGATGTTATATGAAATACAGTTCACAAATATGGCAGCCACAAATCGGATGCAAGAAATAAAGATGATTGTAATGTAATTCTTCACTTTTTCTAAATTAAAACTTGATGATGATCTTGATGCCATTTAAATAACAAGTCCATAATAATAAGGCAGTACCTTATTTTTCTGAACTTCTATCCGGCTTAAAAATATTTTAATAATAAATTTAAATAAATCTGTTTCATTTATAATCAAACATTTAATTTTATTTATTCCTTCTTCTAGTTTTCAATTAAATTGCTCATTTATGTTAGTAAGGTTGCTGTAGCCAAACACTTATAGGTTGCAAATTGCAACAAATGGGTGGAAATGTTAACAATGAGAGTTAAGAGTCTTAATTTTTTGTGTAATATATTTTGTTCTGAACCTTGAAAATTTCATCTCTGATGTATGTAAAGATATCTGTAGCTTGACTGTTATTTTTTTAGACTATTTATTCTTGTGTGTAAACATATAAATATATGTATATAGTAATAAAAGTTGATAAGTTATATTACTATAAATATAGTTGCATATTATCTTTTGTTTTGTTAGAATTTTGATGTAATGATTTCACATTGCAGGCAATCGTAGGCTTGATGAATGGGTGTTAAGCGACAGGTTTGATTTAACTTCAGCTGGTAAAGATAATGGAAAAATTGGTTATAATGCTTCCCATCGGGGTGATCAACCTGACAGAAAAATTACACGAAACCAGAAAAGAAAACATGATGAAATTAATCATGTTCAAAAGGTATTTTAAATTTCATGTGTAATAAAAAACGATTACTTTCCATTAAACTATTGCAGGAATTATTTTTTTAATAGCAAACTTAGATTGCAAAACCTGATTACAGCCTAGGTGCAGAAGCCTTATCTAGGGCCCCTATATCATTCTTAAATTCTTCATAATCCTGTCCCCCCCCCCAGCACACACACACAAAAAAAGAAATTGAGCATAGAGGAACCATGAATGTACCTATGATCCTAGAATTTCTTATTCAGGCCGTGTTTGCACATTCCATAAAATAAACAAGCATTTAATTCATAAAGACAAAAATTTAATAGTCACTTTGAAATTGTAAAGGAGCTTGTTTTGTTGCAAGGAGGGTAGATAAAAATGTAATACAGTACAAAGTCCGTAATCCGAACTCGTCTGGACTTCGGCGGTTCCGGATTATAGATCATCAATTTAAATCTGGTAAGAAGGCATGCAGAAATTATACAATTAAAAATATGAAACCGTAATTTATGAAATAAAGAGCAATTATGATGTAAAGGGTATCAAAATTTAAAAAAAAAGCTTAATATTTATTTGTTTACTTTAGTAAACATTTCTATCAATGTAAGTTGTTTAAGTTGCTTCGTTTTTTGTGCTAATACTTTCTCTTTAATTCTATAAACAGACATAATTTCTTGTTCAATTACAAAGTTCCACTGTTAAAGTCCTGTAATTGCTGTTTTGAGAATACCGACTAACTTGTCAATCAAAATTTTTTCGTTTTCAATAACGTTCTCTGTTACTTACTTCACTATCGGAAGCGTGCATGGGTAAACGCTTTACTGGCTTGACACGCATGCGTAGTTTACACGCGCATCAAACACTCATGCATAAGTTTGTGGCTTTGAGGTCCGGATTATAGATCATTCCGGATAATGGACATCCAAATTACGGATTTTGTACTGTACTGTTTACTGGGAAAATTATAATAACCATATAGAAATGTCGAAAGAGACATAAATTCTTGCAAATCACCTCAATAGCTGTGCCACCCACCTTTCGCCAAAATGAGATCCATCCTAGGTCGAGCTGTGCAAAATTGAATGTCACCCTAGTGGAAAATTTTATTGGAAAAAAGAAATTGAAAGAAAGAAAAAGATATAAACATAAGAAGAAAAGTAATAAAATAGATATTTAAAAGAGCATAAAAAATTATATGCATAATTATTTCATTGTTTCACAACGGTATTGCAAATTGTGTGCTGCCTTACAGGAATGATTGCATTTATTTCAGGCTTTGTAAGATTAATGAATTTTTTTAAGAACATTGTATATTTGAACCCATGCTATAAAAAATGGTCATTACCTTTTTGAATAGTTTAAGTGGTTTTTTGCAAAGAAGTACATAATAGTGTAATTTTCTTGGTGACTTCTGGGCAACCAAGAAGAAAAACTGAAAATCCATCATAATTACATCAGAGGAATTTGTTTTTGCCAGTTTTTTCACCAGATAAACTTTTCTAAATATACTTAAGTACCACAAGTATTCCAAGTCCCATATTTTTTTTTTTTTTTTTTTTTTTTTTTTTTTTTTTCTCTCTTCTTCATTCAGCCTCATACTAAATCTATGTTTTAGATGTTCATCTTTGTAGTAGGACCAACAAAACCATATTTATGATTGACTTATAAGCATATGCAACTTTTTCTGTTGCATTTGAATAATCTGTCAATATTATCAAGCTTTCTACCATTTTATTCATAATCATGTGCAATAAAGTTTTTACATTCTAGTTTTTATTCATCTTTATGAAGCACAAGTTTGTTTTAGCAATAAATGCCAGCAATAATCCATAGTTCTAATAATAAATTCTCGCTATGGTACTTTCATTAGCTTTAACAAGTTTATTTTCTCCATTTTGCAGTTTTCTTTTAATCATATAAAATATAATCAATTTTAAATACTTAGTTACATCAGTTAGCTGTCATTTCTGGTGACATATCAAATTATGTTTCACAATACTTGAGACATCACTTTAAAACATCAACAATAAATGAATCCTAATACAGTCACGAAGTAAACATTGAACCAGTTCTTATGTTGTCAGCTGCACTATCACTTATTTTTCTTTTAACACTTTTCTTTTTTAACCTCAGTGTTTGAAAAATTATGGGCAGATAAATTCTTGGAACTTGCTAACCACACATTTATAATGAATTTCTAAAGACATCAAAATATATAGGTAAATAAAATATTATCTAAAAAAATTTGCAGACTCATGTTTTATGTTTGCTTATAAAACACAACCCCTGACATAGAAAATGCACAATAATATGCTTCCTTTTTCAAAATCTATAAGTATAGTTTACATTAGTGTAAAAAAAAAAAAAAAAGTATGTTAAATTTGCTCTTCTAAATTTGAAGATGGAAAACTTGTTTGTTTAAATCAAAAAATAAACATGGATTAAACAGTTAAAAAATTTTGGAATTCTACCACACTTGCTTTCTGCCACCAGTATAGCTCAGCTGAGAAACTGCAGAAAAGTGTTATGTGAAATGATGTACTTGGTGATCAATAAAAAGCAGAAATATGGAAAACCATAGGGAAAAGAAGATAGATGTAAATGTAAATGATGATGATGCTGTCTCTCATCATATATTGTGATCAGTAATCACATTATACAATAAAATTAAAAAGTGCCATTTATTTTTAAATTAGAATACTAGAATTACAACCAGATAAAAAAAAAAAAAAAAAACCTATTGTCTTAAAGTTTTTCTATTGTTCTTTAAAGCAATATGTTGTTTATCATGTGAGTTAGAAATATTTGACATATTAAAATTAAGAGATGTAGAATTAACTTTTATGCACTGGTAATGAAAGGATTTCAAATTATTTATTTTCCTTAGAGTTGTGGCCTCCTTTCAAGTTACAGTTTGGGATGTAACTGAAAATGATCTAGTCATCTAAATATAATTACCATTTTGTTTCTAATTTAAACCACAGTAAGATTTTAGAATTGAAAAAAATTATGAAAATTATATCATATTGATTTAAACCCTAATTACAAGTCTTAAAATCTAAATAAAAAGCCTGGCTTAAATTCAGAGCAATATATTGTTTATTCATGTTGAGTTACTTTTTATTTATATTTACATTCATTTTATCCTTCCCAATTAGACTTATGCAGAAATGGATCCAACTACTGCTGCTTTGGAAAAGGAGCATGAAGCTGTAAGTTATTTTTCTGGTTTATTAATAGACTTGTTTTGTTATACTTAAATATTTTGAGTTTAGTTAGCTCTAAAAAGTGAAATTAATGCAATTAAAATATTGTTCTATGTTAGATAAAATATTGTTTCATGTTCAAGGTATCACAGAATTTCCAGTTTGTAGAGGTATGTTTTTTTTAGTTGCAGTTCCATATTCATAATGTTAATTTCTTTTGAATTTAGTTGGTCTTTTCCGCTACCTGTAGTTTTTTAAATTGTGGTGATTAGTTTTAGCAGGTAAGAGTAAAACAATGTTTTCGTAAGTGTGGCCTTTGCAGAAATATTCATTCTTTTGCATCTGAATTGGCAACAGGATATTCAAGGTAACTAAATTCTGTTCCTTGTCTAAGGTTGTCAATAAATCCTTATCTTTATGTATTAAATTAACATCCAAGAAGAATTTTCATGTCAGTGTCTAAAAATTAGACATGAGGATTTTTGTTTTTAAAAATGCCACATTTTAAACATCAGAAGCTTAAAACTCCAAATATTATATTTGACAGCCATTAGCACAGTCCGACTAGCACTCTGCTGAAACCTTAAGTTTATCCAGCATGGATGTTAATTTATTGCAGTCTGATGGTCTAATTGGCCATTCATTTCTTCTGGGGAATCTACAAAGATGTTAAGCTGCAACTGACAACGTGGCACAAATTATTTTTGAAAATAATTCTGCCATGGCTCTCTTTCAGGAATATTATAATTGTGGTGGGGAAAAAATTGGAAGTATGGGCTCATTTAAAGGGTTTGAAACTGCTGTTAGTATATCTCAGCTAGTCCAGTCAAGATTAAAATCATAGCTAGAGATTTTAACATGGCACCCCCCCCCCAGTGCACTTCCGAAGCAAATAGGTAAGCGGACCCACTTTGGGTTTTTTTTTTTTTTTTTTTTTTTTTTTTTTTTTTTTTTTTTTTTTTTTTGGCTACTCATAGTCTAGTGGTAATTAACTCCACTAATAACCTCTCTTTAACTTTTTTAAAGATATGACTGCAGAGGTTGCCAAATGTTAATTTGACAAAAACAAGCAATGTTACTTATATTCAGAACTGGAAAGTTAGAAAATGCATGTCATTTAGTTATCACTGGTTTACTAATCTCATCATCTAGTGTAATCATCAAGAGCAAATGTAAGATGTTCATATCAAGAAATTCAACACCATGTGTGCCTGAATTTATATCGTAGTGTAGTAGTTGGGGAAAAAAGGAACAAAATAAGAATATATATGAAAAGGCCATGCATTCCATACCCATAATGTGGGGAAAATGCATGTTTGCAAAATGCTTATATTTGTTAAGTATTTACTTTAAGTAATTAAAAATTTCTGTTTCAGATTACAAAAGTGAAATATGTGGATAAAATACAATTTGGAAAGTTTGAAATTGACGCTTGGTATTTCTCACCTTATCCTGAAGAATATGGAAAGCAATCTAAACTTTGGATTTGTGAATATTGTTTAAAGTATATGAGACTGGTAAAAACCTACCGATATCACCAGGTAATTTTTGCTGATAATACATTATTTAGTTTCTTGGCAAGTAAATAAAATAGTAAAAATATAAATAAGAAAGAAAAACTTCCATGTTTTCTTTTTTTTCCCCCCTTTCTGTTATAGATTAAGAACTTGATAATTTTAAGCAACTCACTCTTTTTATTTCTGATCAGTGTTGTCATTGTAAAATGAAGACTTTAATTATACATCAAATTGACATACTTTTATATGCAGATGCTCGCACATGTTTTAGGCAAATTTGCTTTGCTATTTAAAAAAATTGCCTGCTTGGAAATTTTTTCTTAACTGCAACAACTTAACTTCTGAAAGTGTAAATTATCATCTGCTACTTGACAATTTTGTTTTCATGCAAATTGGCACTTTTAAAGAAGCAAGGGACAGAAAGCTATGTTTGTGCTCTCTCCGAAGAAAATTATTCGAATTTTAGTTATTAAAAAATGCTGTGAAAGCCATGATTTTTTGGTATGTAAAACAACAATAGATAGTATTGTCAATAAGAAAGGGGGGGAACATCAAAGTTTGGCTTCAAGCAGAAAAATTGTTCAAAATACTAATCTAAGGAAAAAACGGAATGTTTCAAATGTTGCAAAGCTAAAAACTTTAATGTTAAAAGAAAATCTGCGAAGTCAAAAGACAATTCCATAGTCATTAAAATGCTCAGTGTCAACTGTAAACAAAGTGATTAATGTTGATTTTAATCTTAAAATGGCGAAAAAGCATAATGTACATTGTCTTTCTCCATGACATATCACCAAAAGCAAAACACTCTGCAGAATTCTTATGAGAAACAATTGTTTTGACACAAAAGAAAAAATCTTGTTACAATAGATGTCTTGAGTACCTTTAAATGACTGCTATAAAAGAGATTCATTTATTTTCATCAAATAGAAGAAAGACAAAACCTTAGAACATAGTTCAAAGAATTTAAAGAATGTTTTTCAAGGGGATTTATGATTGTTGCTGGTTTTTGATATAATGACAAATAAAAATTTAAGAGAGTGAAGAAAACTGTTAAGGTCAACTCCACATATTATCAGGAACATACTTTATACCCAATTTCCAAATATGAAATACCTTCTCTTTACCCATAATGCCATCAATCAGTAGAACTGCATCAAAACAAAACAAGTAGCCATATGTCAAAATACACTGTTAATTTCCTGGAAAAAAATAGAGCAACAAACATATATAAAGGCCATACCCTTCATTCATATCCCTACTAAGGCCCATATCATACACACATTTTTTTTCATGTGAACAACTGTTTTGGACAATTTTTCTGCCTGTTTTACTAATGAAAGAAAGATGTGCAATTGTTTTTTTTCCTTTTCAAAAAAAATTGCAAGTTGTTCGTTTTCAACCAATCAGCTATCAGCTTCTTTGTAATGGGAGAAGCAGTTTTCCCTCTTTTAACTCCAAAGCGATCTGTGGTGATTGGCTGTTGGGACAAAGCAGAAAAAATTGTTCCAAACAGTTGTTCTTCCGAAACAAATGGATGTGTGATAGCTGCCTAAATCTCCTGCTGTATCATCCATAGATTTTTGTGCTTTTGGACTTTTAAAAAGCTAATTGTCCGAACATTAACATACAACCATCCTTGGACTTTGGAAAGCTATTCAAGAGGAACAATTTGATTAGATACATTTTTATACCTTTTATTTCTTAATTTCATATGATCCAATATAATCCTAACCAACCAGGACTAAATTCAGATTGTCCATTTTAAGGGTGAGAAAATGTGTACTGTTGCTGATGTGACTTTCATCCCCACAAGATCAATATTATGCCTAGTATTATAGTTAAGTTATTAAAAATTTCTGCGAGATGGGATTAGTGCATTAGGTTTCTGATAGTGGATGTCAGACAGCTGCAATAGACAAAGCTGTTGTGTGTTCTTTTCTAAAGAATCTTCAGTGTTTTATGCATAAGTATCCTTAAAAACAGTTGTCAGTTAAAATTCGATTTTATGGTTATTTCATGTTAACAAATGGCTTCATGTGTTCGGCCGGCAAAAAGTCTTATTAAAATTCCATGCTTCTATTGAGGCTTCTATACTGTGATAATGCTATTGTCTTTGTGAATCATGAAATTAATAAATAAAATCAGAAGTATTGTTGTTATTTAAATCCATCATTCACAGACTGCACTAAAACTGTGGTGATGCTGAAATCATATCATGATATGGATCTTCTTGTAACATTAATAATTAGAATCTTAGTTCATTACTGAACTATCAGAATATTTAAAATGAAAAAATAACTGTCTATTAGCTCACTATTGCTATAATACTTGAAATTAAGAATAATTTTCTGTTTACGTCAAATTCATAAATCATTATCTCCATATTAATTAATGATATCCAAAAGTCAACCTGTGTTTCCGAGGATTCAGGATGGTGGTCATGATTCATGTTATACCCCTTCTCACTGGGTAGCACCTTCAATCCATCATGCACAGCTATCATTTAGTTTTGGTATTTATAATAGTTTAAGAAATAGAAAATAATTTCGAGATTTTTTATCATCCATATATTTTAAAACATAAACTGTTGCATATAAGAGAAACATTATGATGCTTGTAGCTTTTATCATCTGTGTTATTAAATAATGAAGAACCTTTATATATGTATGCATATTCGTTGCATTGTGGAGAAACAGCAGCACTTAGAGCTACCAAACTTGGAACACAAATAGTCCTCCACTAGAGCATGTATGCCTTGAATCCTGAATTTGAATTTCCGATTTTTTTAATTTATTTTGTATTCTGTACAAATTTAATGACATTTTGATTAACACATGGCATTTAAAAGCGAAGTGTTGTATTTTAAAGCGTCAGATAATTTTGTAATAAAGTGTTAAGATTTTAAAATTATAATTAGTATATATTTTTAAATATATTATTATTATATATTTAAAATTTAATCAGAAAACTTAGTGATTCTTGAGAAATTGTTACCACTCAGCAAAGCTTAAAGTGTTTGTCTTTTAAATGTATTTGACAAGCTCAGTAATTTAAAAGAAATATGTTGCTATTAGTCAAAATATAAGATATTTGTTATTCATATGTAATCAGGAAATTTAGCGACTTAAAAGGAATGTGTTTTCATTGCCCTAAATAAAATATTTATATCTTCCATGCACATATTTTACCTTTTGGTAAGGTCTTTTAACTTTTCTTTCAAATATAATTTATTATTTGAACTAAGCATTAAATGCAGTTCTTCATCTCTGCTGTTAATTACTGGTTGAACCTGTGAAATTACATTAGCTGGACTCATAAAAATCACTATATATATTTTTTGTTGTTATAATAATCATATTAAGTGGCTAATAAATATCAGTAGGGCTCACCCGAGACCAGATTAGTCTCTTCGGATAGGAGGGATTAGATCACCCAGCCTACAGCCTTGATCTTGCCCCATCAGATTTTCACATGTTCCCCACATTGAAAGCCATATTCTTAGGATGTCACTTCCAAAACAGTGCTGAGCAAGAGCAGACTGTGCTATAATTCCTTTCATCACAGGGCATCGATAGGTGCCAAGATTTTTACCAGAGAGGTTTCTTCAAACTGCTTGCATGTTAGAAGAAATGTCTCAGGGGGCAACTGTGCCTAAAAATAGTATAAGATGTATAATTCATGATGTCATTGTATATTTTTTTGGCAATTAAGTATCCATGTGAGGGGGGAATGATAAAACTCACTTTTGGAACGTACTACATAATATCAGTTTATTGTTTTAAATATCTAGCAATATTGTTGCAACAACAAATGTGTATTATTTAATAGGCCATACAAGGAAATTGTGTAGTGTTTACATCAGATTTTTTATTAAACATTATTTTTATTAATGGTTTAAAATCTAGTCATGTGATTTTTTTATTAGTATTTGTACTGTACGTAAATACATTTATCCGTAAAATTCTATTTCAAATACTACTAGTATCCGAAGTTTCAATGTAGGAAAGGAATTGGATATCCCATTATGAAAATCTTTTCAAATTATTATGTTAATTGGTGTTTGTTCTGTCATTTTTTATTTTATGAAGAATTTTACAACTGTAAATTGCATTTTATGTTATTCAATTTGAAATTTTTACTCAGGGAGAGTGCATAGCTCGTCAACCACCTGGTAAGGAGATCTATTGTAAAGGGACATTATCTGTTTATGAAGTTGATGGAAAGGATCACAAGGTATGTAGAAATTGGTTCTTTTGATATGTATTTTCTATCATTTCATAAAATTGGCTTGTTGATTAATATACCATTAGCACTTAATGTTTTTTCTTCTTGCTGTTTCAGTACATTTTATATATTGCTACAGGGATGCAGAATTCACTAGTATGTATTTTACTGATGAGGCTGCGGACAGAAATAGAGTAGCTGCTTTGAACAAGTGCTTTGTTTCTACCTGCAGCCCCATAAGTAAAATGCATATTGTCCAGCTCTGTATTCTTGTAGTGATATAATAATGTTCAAAATCCACATGGAGGATGATGTTTGTGCCAATGGAACTTTTTTATTTACTACACAGCAGTGCCTTATACTACCTCAACAGGCCATTTCCACATCTGCGTTCTATAACAAAAATCTCATTTTTCAGTCCCTCCTGCCTGCCTTTACATTTTTATCAGATATTTTTAAACACATGGATGTTAGAAGACAACTCTTAACATAATGAAATCAAATATTCTGGATTATTTAAACCTATGAAATTGCATGTGTATTATGTCGACAAATGTCACCACTTGCTGATTGATGACACTTTTTTTTAATTGTATTGTAAAAAAAAATTATGTTAACTGATCACTTCCTTGCTGAAAAGAAACAGAATTAAACTCATTTTACTCAATCACACTGGTGATCATATTCATTGAATTAGCACTAATCAAGGTTTTATTGAATATATATATATATATAACACACACATACATATACACAGGTTAGAAACTGAAGAATGTTTAATTCATAAATAGTATTAATGTCATTCAGTTTGCTGCAAAATCAATTAAGAAAGAAAGAGATAAAATATATAAAATGAAAAATTGAACAATCGTGGCAAGCAATTTAACAAGAAGACACAAATAAAAAAAAAAAAAAACTTTTGAAGCAAAAAAACTTGGTAAACAAAGCTGAAATAAAAGTAAGATAATACAAGAATTAAAAAAAAAAATCATTAAATATTAAATAATGTTAATAAATAGTAGTTGATTATTCCGAGGTGTTTGTCAAAGAACGGCTGAAAAAAAATATCAGTAGAGCCATGTTTCTGAATGAATTGCAAAATAAAAAATAATCACAGAAATTTTTCTTTTATGTATGTCAGAATGACAACTTAAATATCACTTTCCTTAGCAAATGTTTTGAAAATGGAAGTTCTGTCTCATAAAATGCAAATTCAAATGGCATTTGTTTCTGAATGGAATACATTTTCCCTTTTGTTATAAATGGCATATCCAGAAATTAGGAAATTGATTCAGAATGTAGAAGGATAAAACTATGCATTCTCATATGTCTTGTGGCTTGAGAAAGAACCATAGTCTCCGTCGAAATGGCCAGAAAGTGATCAAGAAAAAATTTGTTAAGGTCATCCTCTCTTGCGCTGTTTCCGTGGAGTAATTTAGATCTTATATTTACTTTTTTATTTAACCAAGGAAATTTGTGTTAAGTTTCAAAATAAATATTTTAAAAGACAACTGGTCTTAGTATTCCCATTATGAAAATTCGCGAAGAGTTACAGAAGATGAAGTTGATCAGAAGCACAAAATGATGCTGATGGCTTTGTTTGATTGTTTTATATATATATATATATGCTTATGGCAAAGCCTCAAGGGCTATTTGTCTAAGGGGAGAGGTGCCTTTGTGAAGGACTTTCTAAGGGAAACTGGCTCATATACATGTTAAAACCACAGAAGCACCCATGCAGCCAGCCCATTCGTGGGATTTGAACCTCTGAACTAACAGCATTCAGCAAATTTACCTCTCGGCTGCTGTTGGGTTGATGCTGATGGCAGCAGAAGTGAAAAGTTTAAATAAATTGAGTCTATACATGGTTCCAGTGAGCAAATAAATTCTATAAGAATATTTTCAAATTATTTTCTACATCTGTAACAAACATTTCTATGTCAGAATTTTAGACCAAAGCTATTACTAGAAAGCTTCTCTAAAATATTGTTTTTTTAACTTTCTTACTTTCACCAAATGGAAAACTCAAGTAACTAGAACAGTTGAGAAATCCCACCAAAAAATTCAGAAATGAGACAGTTGTAAGTCGTTATTAAATATATATATAGTATTAATAATGGATAACTGTGGCCTCACAACACAATTATAAAATCGTCATCTTTGTCTTATATAAACCATATTAATTTTTGATAAGCCAGTTTACTTTTTGTAACAAAGGGTATAAGATAGCTACTGTTTGTCTGTTTTCCCTTGCATTTTGAACAGCATGCAGTGAAGTATTTTCAGTTACAGGCTCCTAGCATTAGAAAAATGCATGCTAATAGGCTTAATATGAAACTTAAAAACTGGATAAACAGTGATGATATATAGGAAAAAATGAATTATTAGCAATTCAGGTTTTTTTAGGTACTTTTCTATTATCGGGAATTCTGATTTATGATTCAGAAATTTATGTATGTGTATATATGTGTACACATGTATACCTACATGCTTACACCAAAGAGCCATTACATTATGATCATCCTCTATCTATACCGATGGGCTTGCCCAGGAACAAAAACACTGCACAAGCATTGCTGTTGTTTGAGTATATAAAGCGGCTATACATTATCTTTCCAAACATAGTGCGATTAGCGACATAATGGGAAAAGTAGCTGATTTTTATGACTTGATAAAGGTCAAATCATTATGGCTTGGCGACTAGGAACATCAATATCAGAAACCGCGCATGTAGTGGGCTGTTCACGTGCAGTTGTTGTGAGCACATATGGAAAATAATGTATGGATGACGAAACGACAAGTCGCCGGCCAGCAGTGTGTCGTCAATGGCACATTGATTCCAGAGGAGAGCGAAGATTGCTACGTGTTGTTCGGCATGAGCTGCAACAGTGGCGACCCAAACAGTGTTTCTCAATACACTGTGCAGTGCTGCTGTGTATGAGCCTATGCAGCCAAAGACCAAAGCGTGTCTCTGCACTGACAGCACATCATTGCCAGCTGTGTTTGCAATGGACAGGAAACATCGGAATTGGACATTAGAAGAATGGACATGTGCTAATACGCCGACTTTTAAACGAAACCCTAGCTCCCAAATGCACAGTTGTATGGAGACAAGCTGGTGGCAAAGCCATTATGGTGTGGGCAATGTTTTCATGGAGCACATTAGGACCCATAATTCCCATAGAACAATCCCTGACGTTTGGGCGCTACATGAACATCGTTGCAGACCAGGTACACCTATTCATGAGAACAGTATTTTCGGCAGGGGATGGTGTTTATCTTCAGGATAATGCACCATGTCATAAGGGTTGAATCGTCAGGGAATGGTTCAACGAACATTCCAGTGACTTTAAAGTCATGTCATGTCCTCCAAATTCACCTGAAATTAATCCAATAGAGCATTTGTGTTCCACCTGGAAAACCAAATTCGTGCTGCCACACTACCCCGTCAAAATGTGCGGGAATTGCAGAACCAGTTGGTGAGCACTTGGTACCAGATACCTCAGACTACCTATCAGCACCTTGTGGAGTCAACCCCCACTCCGGGTGCTGGCAGTTTTGAGGGCTAAAGGAATGGCTCTTTGGTGTATATGCATATATGCTCTCACATATATACATTTCTGAATCCGGTCTCGATAATAGAAAAGTACTGTTTTTTATATACTATACTCGTAACTGTTGATTATCTACACTAGATAAAGAATGATCTGCTGTTTTAAATACTAGCTGGTCTGATAAGTTTTTCATAATCAAATAAGATATTTTACTTTCATATGTTTTAGGCTTACAAAATATGGCAGCCTTTATGTCTGAAATGCATTTTTTCTTTGAATTCTTACATAATTTTAAATGTGGGATTTTAATATTCAACATAATAACAAATAAGATGACAATTTTTACAATTTTGTCCCAGAAATTTCTTCTTTCATTCATTTAGCTTTTCTGCCGTGAGTTGCATTATTGGTATGCTCAACTATCATATAGTTTTCATGTGCCTAAAATTTGGCATTTCTCAAGTTTTCTTGATGTGATTAAGCTTTAACTACGTGTATTACATCATTGTTACAGATAGAAGATGAAGAGAATATTGAAACTACATCAATGTTAACTTTCATTTTGTTCTTCATATTACTGCAGTAATCTGATTTCTTATTTTATTTTTTACAGTTATTTATTAATTTTGCAAATAAATGCAAAACTTTCACTTTTACAAAATTTCCTTTTTTTTTTTTTTAACACAGATCCCAAGTATAAAGTAAAATATACTGTCTATTAACTTTTTATGTGATAAATAAATGATATTATATTGTGGCTTGTTCATGGATTGAAAATATATTAAAATATAGGCAAATATATAATTATAATATTCTGTAATTGTTCTCTTTCTTATAGCTATATTGCCAAAATTTGTGTCTCCTTGCAAAGTTATTTTTGGACCATAAAACTCTTTACTTTGATGTAGAACCTTTCCTCTTTTATGTATTGACTGAAACTGATAAGCATGGTTCCCATCTTGTGGGTTATTTTTCAAAAGAAAAAGAATCTCCTGATGGAAACAATGTGGCTTGTATACTTACACTCCCTCCATATCAACGAAAGGGATATGGAAAATTCCTTATTGCATTTAGTAAGTATGGTTCTGATGTAGTTTTTGTAATTATGATTTTTAAACCACAAAGGGAAAATTACTAGCCCTTTGGTGATAATGCAGTTTAACAACTTTTAATTTCATAATTCAGTGATTTATATTTTCGAATTATAATATTAACATTCACCCAGTCAGTGTAAGTAAGTGTTAATATGCCAGGCCTAAACTGAGTCAGCTTAAATCAGTTTTCCATTATTATGATTTATTAACACGTTGACGGTGGCGGGAATATTCATTGAACAATTAATATCTGCACCGCCGTCAACATGTTAAATTGAAGTACATTACCAGAAATTGTTAAGAAAATATTCTTGCAAGTTACATTTTAAATTATTTGTTTTGTATTGAATGTTTGATTATAATGTTCATATGTTAATCTATAACTCTTGAATAATTAAAATAAAATAAAATTTTGTACTACATATATTCTGATATATAAGCGTGACCCATCGGTGGGTCATGCCGCCCCAGGAAACAGATAAGTATGACCCACTGGTGGGGTGGGTCGCCGCCATCAAAGTGTTAAAAGAAATAAAATCCTGTAAGTTGCCTGTTCAATATACAGTCAAAAGTCGTTAATTCGGACACCCGTAATCCGGACCTCAAAGCTAAAAACTTTCTGTGCATGCGCCGCGTTGGCACATGCGCACTGGCATTTTACGCGTGCGCGTAAGACCTTGACTACTGCGCATATGCGTGTGCGCAAGTGCAGAATACTTTTTCGCCTGCTCGTTTAATGTATAGCGGACGGTGTAAGCTAAAATTATCTAATTATCTATTTCACTTAATGTTAATGATTTCGTTGTTCCTTAATCTTCGAATTGGATCCCGCTTATTATTTTTTGCAGACTGTAAGAGCAATTTTATAAAAGCAAACTTGAACTTTCGATTATGTCAAATAGAATTTCCGATGCTGGAAATTCCAAAGGATCTACAAAACGAAAGTATGTTTCGATGTCCAACAAACAAAAAGTGGAATTTCTGCAAAAATGGGATAAGACATGAAGAAGTGACAGAGAGATTAGTGAAAACGAAAAAATTTCAATTGACAAGTTAGTCGGTATTCTCGGCACAGCAATTAACGGGACTTGAACAGCGGAACTTTGTAACTGAACAAGAAATTATGTCTGTTTATAGAATTAAAGAGAAAGTATTATCACATAAAATGAAGCAACTTAAACAACTTACATTGAAAGAAATGTTTAATAAAGTAAACAAATAAATATTAAGCTTTTTTTTTTTTTTGTAAATTTTGATACCCTTTAGATCATAATTGTTAGAATTTCTGCATGCCATCTTACGAGATTTAAACTGTCTTTAAACTTTAAGATTTAAACTGTGATCTATAATCCCGAAAAATTGATAATCCGGAATCGCCGAAGGCCCGACGAGTCCAGATTAACGACTTTTGACTGTATTAGCTTTGCAACTGCTGAAACGTGTGCTTGCTTATGAACAATAAAATTGACCCCCTCACCTCATTCTAACAGCAAACTGAAAGAGTAGAAATGCATTTTTATCAGTGTCAGCAACTTGTTATAACCTTTCGAAAATAAAGCATCAAATAATAAAAAATATTCAGCATATTTTTAGTGTAGTAGAAAATGCAAATAGCAAATACTCACATGTGTATTATGATTGACCTCTGAAAAGCCATTTATATGCTCCAGTTATTTAGTCTGATAAATTTAATCCAAGAAAATAACATTTATCAGATTCAGCATGATACTATTAATACTCCAAAATGTACTCAAATTTCACTGCTGGTAAATGTAATTTCTAATGATAAATGCAGAAGGCAACTGTATTACAAATCTAAAAATTTATTGATGTAATTATTTGTTTCCATCCCCCTCCCTAATAAAATTTTCTTTGAATCTTATGAGAATACTTAAATGAATGTAAATTCTTAAGGAGCCTATAAATACCAGTATGTACCCAAATATAAATAGACCAAAAACATAAACAAAGAAAAAACAGATCAAAAAGTAGAACCAACTTGTATTTTCATAAAGCCTAGAATCTGAAAACCCTAGAAAGAGCACCACCCAGAAAATACAGTTTTTCAAGTTGAAATTTTAGCAATTAAAAAGGCAATAGAAATTACAATTAACACGTTGAGTGCGGCGCCAGACCCTGGGGACTGGCAGTGAACTTTCCGTGTGGCCGCTGTCGGTCCCTGGGGACAGGCACTGAAATTTTCTTTTGGCTGCCGTCGGTCCTCTGAACCGACAGTATTAAAGTTAAAAAATAAATATAGTCTCAATGAAATGTGATCAAATTTAGTTTTAATGAAATGTATTGAAACATTCTAAACAAAAATACAGCTTAGCTCGCTGCCGGCTTAACGGAAAAGACAGCAAATTCGGCGCCACGATCAACCTGTTAATAGTAAATCCAGTCAGATTCTCTTTCTTCACTACATGCAATAGCAAACTTTCTACACCTTTCTACTGTAGCACGGAAAATCTTTTATCTCCTCCAAGAAAACAGACGTATTAAATTTTCATTAATTGAGTGAAAGCACATACAAGAAATGAAGGAAATGAAGATGTTAGCTCTTTTGCTAAAAATGCAGCTGCTACTTATGATTCCAAAGATATGAACTTATTGCCAAAACCATGTCTAAAAAAAGGAAGCAAACAGGAAAATAAATCAACTGACAGAACAAATGTAACTCTATTCCTCAAGAAAGGGATCCCCCATTTGTTATGATTAGTTCATGTGTTCTCCTGTCTACATAACTCTTAAACCACTTACACTGTGTGAAATATTTCTAAATTAAGTAAGTATGCCATTAGCATCGTGCATTTAACTTTTGTAAAATAAAGTGATAAATAATATTCATCATAACAGTTCTAACACTCTATAGAAACTGTTCAGTAAGTTTTTGTAGCATTCTAACATATTTTATACACATTTAGAATTTGATATAAAATGTTCCATTTCAGCATATATGTGATACAGTGGGCTATCAGTTTGGTCCCATATCACTTTTAACATGGAAGGGGGGGGCCACGGAGGGAAACTATGTTGTATCATATATGATACTCTGAGAACAAATTGAAAATATTGTAGCTATTTTTCAGTCATTAATGTTTTGTTATGAATTTTAAAAAATTTAGATTTGTAGACCTTAACTAATTATATTATATCAATAGGTTATGAACTTTCTAAGAAAGAGCAACTTGTTGGCTCTCCTGAAAAACCATTATCTGATTTGGGAAAATTAACATACAGAAGCTATTGGTCATGGGTTATTTTAGAAATACTGAAAAACCAAAGAGGTGCATTGTCAGTAAAGGAACTAAGGTAAGTAATAATGATACATTTAATATTTTCTCCATTTGTAGTATAATTTTTAAACTTTTTTGTGAAGTGCTTTATGAAATTAATTTATGTGTGTAAAACTAATATGTGTTCTTCAGGAGCTCTGTTCATGTAGTTTGTTGAGTTTTAAGCAATGTGTAAAATGCTGTATTTCTTGATTAAAATTTATAGTTGTAAATGTGCTTTGTAATAATAATTTTCATACTTATGTAAATTTTTTAAAAGTAAACTTCATAATTAAATTTTTAAGCCAAAACTGAAAGGAGCCAGATGAATTTTAAGGGATAAAAGATTAAACCTGCTGAGAAAAATTAATATAAATCATATTTAAAATTGTTTGTTTCATTATTACGTTTGACCCATTAAAATCTGAACATTGTAAATTCTGCTATTACTAGGTAAATAAGATTTTGTTACTAGTAGTACTACTCTGGTTTCGGGGGCCATAAAAAAGTCACCAAACTATTATTGATGTCAATGATGATTACTAATACCTAACACAATTCAAAAATTCAACTAAGGAGTTGCACAATTTAAAAGTTCGATTTTTTTTGTGTGTGAATTTTTTCCAAGAAATAAATATTTACTAAATCAGAAGTCAAGCAACAAAATAAATATTTATTTGATATATTTATTATTCCTCTTGCCATTGATTTCACAATTTGGTAATTGCCCATGGCTAAAATGTCTAATTGATTTATTTCAAAAAAGAGGCATCATCAAGAACAAAAAGTAGTGCTCAAAAGATCATGAAATGAAACTGAGTTTTGAACAAAACACCTTAAAATGCCATGGGAGGAACCAATCCATTTCCTCACAATTGTTTGGTTCATGTATTTCTGGTACCAGATGACATCAGTTGATTTTTTGGAAATTAAAACTTAAGATTAATCAAAATATCACTGTTCATTGTAACAATTACGTGTGGGAGATTAGCACAGCAGCTTTAACAGTGCGGCTAACAGTGAATATTGGCGGAAGCAACAAAGTTGTTGAAAGAAACAAAAGCCTCTTCACAAGGAGAAAGAGTAACATTGTGTGGATTCTTCCACAACAATTGGTTTTTGGTGGATTGTGCTGGGGAACTAATCAATGTCTCTTAATTGCAGTTCCTGATTGATCAGCGAACACTTTATTGACTGTCATTAAGGAAAATGTTATGAAAGGAACAATTATTTGCATGGATTGTTGGAAGGCATGTAAATTAGATAATCTGCCCGATACCAGCTTTGAACATTGCACTGTAAACCACAAATTTCACTTTGTTCATCCAGAAAGTGGATGTCACACCCAAACAGTAGAGCACAAAATGGGCAGAACAAATGCCTGACAACACCTCGAATCAGACTTGATTTGTAGCCATCAACACCGACCCCCAGAAATGTTGTAGTACTCATTATATTTATTATTATTATTATTATTATTATGTCCTTCATATCAGGAATGGCCGACAAGTTGATAGCGGTCTACCGGTAGATTGCAACTGACAAAAACCTATGTACGAGTTAAATGATCCACAAAATGGTAACCTGAGAAAAAGTAAAATTAGAATTTTAGGCTCATTAAGAGCCAAAAGGTTTTCTTTAAAAGCCAGTGTAGAGATCTTGAAGTGTCGATTGCATCATTATTCAAAGTAACCATATATTAGCTAAATAATGTACACTATTTTCTAATGGATAATTTATGCAAAAAAATTTCTTGGAAATGTCAGATTCATTTTTTTAATGATTTTAAAAAGTGGTGGATTGTGAAAATATAAGATTGACAATACACTAAACATTCAGACCCCTGTCCTGGGTCCTCCTTGGAGCTTTTCCCAGAGTTTAGTATCCGAGTTCTAGTTAACTTTTTAAATATGGCATTTTTCTTTTTCGTTCCAATTTTTGAGAATTTTATTTACTCTTGGTTTAAATTTACATCCTTATTTAAATCAAATTTTTTATATTTCAAGTTCACAAAAATTAAAAATCATTCCCTTCTTACAAATATCTGTACTAAAGACTCATTATCTTTGTCTGTATACATACCAAATTATGTGCTTGGTTAGAGATATGTATATGCACACTTACCATTAATGATAAGATAATAAAAGAAAATTTAATTTGCATTTTCCTGTGTCGGGGCTCTTCATTTACTAAATGTTATTATTAAAATATCATGCTGGTTAAATACCCCTCCCCAAGTGTCACTTATTGATGCGCATAATACAGGTTTAAATGTGTTAAATGTCAAAATTTTAGAAGGTAAATCATGGCACATTTGGATCATATGTATATACAGTGGATGCTCATTATGAACTCAAGGGTTCTCAGAAAACAGATTGAATTATTCGTTCGATAGTTTTTATTATCTGATGATAAGAGAAAATATAATTTTAAAAGAAGAAAAATCTCCTAGTATGTATAACCCCAGAAAATATATTATACTAATTAAACATATTAAAAAGCAATGAAGACTTATCTTAATCATAAAACAAAGCAGAAGATATACAGTAGAAAATGAACTTTAATTAAAAATATTAATTACACTTTTAGGAAAAAACTGTAAAACGGATGTTTGTAGTGTTTATTATGCAGCCAGCTTCTTGCCAAGCAGCAGAATTATTACATTTTTCAGCCAGCTTCTTGATTTGAAGTAAACATTTCATTTCATTTCAGAGGAAAGTTCAATCAATAATGGCTTGATCATTAAGATGCTTAACAGTTTTTGCATTCTCTTCTGAATCTGATAAGGTCTCTTCTTTTTCATCTTCTTGGATACTTTTTATTATGTCGTCGTTGCTTAGTTTTTCACAAACTTCCAAGTCTTTATCTACCCTTACATAATCAAAAAAAGTAACATTATCTTATTTAAATTTTTTGAATTTAGGAAATGCTGTATCACATTCTTCAATGTGATTGTTCTCATTGGTGTGCATAAATTTAGCATGATGAAAGCAATTACTAATTGTGCTTTCTTTAACATAATTCCATATGATGTATAGATCATTTATACTTGTTAGCAGAGCAATGTCATAGTTTTCATCACAATCTAAAGAAAAAATTCTTTATTGTAGGAGTTTCTTACGATAATTTGTTTTAAGGTTCTGGATGGTACCTTGATCCATTGGTTGTAGCTTCGCATTTGTATTTTGTGGCAAATATTCAACCTGTATGGAATTCAGTTGTACAACATTGTTGTGGCAGGTTGTCCACAAATAAGAGACTTTTACGCTTTTCCTGCTTATCTATTCCTTTTAACCAGTTACTGAAAATGTCTCATGTTATCCATGCTTTTGTATTGGACACATAATCAACTGGCAGTATTCGAATTCCTTTAAAAAACACAATGGATTCGTAGACTTTCCAATCACTAATTATTTAAGCTTTTCATTCCCATCCATGTTAGGACAAACTAAAGCTGCATTCCTCTCTTTGCTGCTTTTACCTACTACACAAGCATCCTCTTTAAAATGTAATGTCTTGCTTGGCAAGAGTTTATTAAAAAATGGAGTTTCGTCCACATTAAAAATATCTTTTGGCAGGTAAGTAGAGAAAAGCCCTGGCAGTTTCTTACTTAGTCTTGATTTATGTCAGAACTTTGGTCACAGGCACTTTAATAAGAAATATTGTACCTTGACTTAAATCGAGAAAGGTCATTCATCACTCCATTTAAAAAAAAAAAAAAAATTGGTGAGCTCATCAATTTATGCTTTTATTTTGTATTTCTAAGTTAATTTGAATCGTGACTTTATGTGCGTAGTATAATTTAAGTGGTATTTCATCTAGTGTGACTTAATATTTTTGGGTTTTAGTGAAACTGGAAAAATAATTGATGTTTTTACACTGTGCGATGCTGAGCCTAATTATGGCTTAGGCTACACATCATTTCCAAGCTCGTAGCTTGTACAGTTTTGGCACATTCATTGATTTCATGTTGAAGAGCGTGTTGGGAAAAGAAGCCTTGCCTGCTTCTGACTGCATCATTTGTCTTTCTGCCTGCCATGGGACTTTTGGACTTTGGGCATTTGAACTTCTTTTCAGTATTATTTTCAAGACATAATCACAAGATCACATGCTCTCCCTCATGTTATTACTGTACTGATCTTTCAGTGCAAAGGCCAAACAAATAAATATCAACAGAGTATTTTTACTCTTTTACTTTTAGTATTTTTACTCTATGTTGGATATCAGTATGGAAGGACAAAGTATCTTAAAAAAGATTAATACCTCTAAGAACTTCCTTTCGGAAGCAAACAAATGTATAGATGATTTAAAGGCTTATTTAGCAAAAGGACATATTTCTAACGAATGTGGTTTTAAATTATGTCATATGTTCACTCATCTTCTCAATTTAATGACTAAACAGTATCTGTGAATGGCTAACCTAGAAGACAAAGCTAAACTTTTTAAAAGCATAGACGAGAAACTTGCAAATATTGTTCAGATGAGCAAGTGATTTATGCCAAAAAGGCAACAAAACCAGCACAAAAAAGAGCTAGATCCCTCTCATGCAGCAGAAAAAGTGAAGAAGAATATTTAGTTCTAGTGTACACAAAGACTCAAAAAGAAATTTCAGAACAAGTAAAAAAATCACTTAGTTCCAAATATTGATCTGGGGGGGGGAGGGAAAAAGTTTGTGTTAAGCAAGTAAGGGAAATTTAAAAGAGTGGCGTACTTATAGGAGGAACCAGAAAGGATGATATGGAGCTTATTGAACAAACAATTCAAGAAAATTAAAAGCTTAAGGATATAGAGGAGTTTGAAAGACACAATAAAATTAATCCCAAAATTATAATGTACAATGTAAATGAAGAACTTACAAAAGATTGTCTTGTAGATAATGTAACAGACTCAGAACGATGTATGTGGAGACTGTGTTGGATGTAAAATTTTCAGTTAAAGGAAAATTTGTTAACAATGGGGTGCTGGAGGTGGATTCCAATTCTTTCAAGCTTATGGTTAAGAATCGGCATATAGATCTCAAAATTGACAAGAAATATG